GCTCTCTGAAGAAATTCGAAATGGCAAAGTGAGAGAGGAGAAAGGAAGCCCATTTATATAGTACTCATCATTTATATAGTACTCATCCCTATCATTTGGGCACGAAGCACGAAAAGGCGCATTTAATGTGCACGACCTCCGAAGCAGGAAAAAGCGGCTGAAGGTAATGATGAAGTAGTTGGGATAGTTGCAAAACCCTTCGTCTCCTTACGACGCGTGTCCTCGGGGTCAGGAGATCGAAGGCTGGGGGGCAATTGATGAGACATTTCCAAATACTCCGAGATGAAAACTCATGTCCTCGACATCAGTGAATTCTTGTTACTATAATCACGACACGTACCCGTCGGATCGTAAGTCCCTATTTTCCCGAGGTACTGTTCATAGGGGTCAATGACACCCAGTACGTTACGTACCGACACGTATCCCTCGGTCGGATATGGGTACATTGGTCCCTACATGTACCACTCCCATCGGTACCGAGATGTACCGTCCAGGACGACGTTCTCTGCACTTATAGAGGCTATTGATGTACAGGTCACTAGCCTAGGCTAGGCTAGGTCAGCATCATGACCTCGTCTTACACAATTGGTGTCAGAAGACACAACGAAGGCAGAAGACATAGCCAATGGGGAATGGACGCGTGACATATTGTGTCACATTAAAGACAAAAAGACCGGATGCCCTTGCTGACACACGACTTGAGAAAGCAGGCATTTAATTACACCATTCCCTTGATGAGACAACATTTAATGCGGTAAGGCTCGGAAGTGAAAGGTAATAAATGTCCCTAAGACTGGACATTTATTACATCCTTGCCGAGAGGAGCTCATTAAACAGTCGGCAGGCCGATGACACAGCCTTGGTTGCTCGGGATCCCGAGCAGTTAAAAGAGAAGACATTCTTCATAGGAATCAGTGCGCACGTTGCCCGTATCTAATGATCACCTACTGACCACACTGACAACAATCATGAGTTTTTGAGGTATAAATACTCCTCACAAAAGGCAAGACGGGATATAACGAAAAACCTTTTCTCAAACCTATACTCAGTGTTTTCTTTTTCCCCTCTCTCAAAAACCGACTTGATCGTTGGAGGGAATACGCTAAAAAACACCCCGGCGCCCTTCTAACTTGTCTTTCTCTATTCCAGGAATCTCCCTCAGCCTTACTGGACCGCTCCCTTGATCCACGAACAGTCACCCATTACCGTTCCAGGCCACCAACGGATCTCAGCCTGTTCCAAATAGCAAGGTTGACCATTCGACTGACTCACTCGAGTTCACCAAGGAAGAGATCTGTTCTCGTGTTTATATTGTACAACATCCTGCACGCACAATAAATTATTTAAGATTTTGTTTAAAATGCATCATTCTTTCCCAACTGGCTACATAGCCGACTGGTGTGGAACCTAGAATCATGTAGCAAGGCAGGAACCAAAATTTCTGGGGAAACAATGGTACTATGGCTATCGTATATTTTTCAAACATGAATTCTGGCGACAAAACTTGATGGACCGCCTAAATTAGGTTACACTGAAAGGGAGTACAGAACAAAATTCATAAATCGACGTTTCACATCAAATTTGTGGTAAAGAGCAGCTATAGTTGGTATAGTGCCTCGTTGTGTTGATCAATTTAATATTCCAGTAGAGATGAAGAAATTTGTTGGATGTAACCTAGGGGAAAAAGAATGTCACTGAGAACTCTATCAAAAACTTGCTAGTAACTTTGACATTATCACAGTTATTAATAGTGTATCTCCAAGCTTAACATAAGTTTGAATGGCTCTCGACGAGAACTTGGTTAATTTCACACACAAGCTGTGTATTTCATTGACGAAATAAGAAAGGGGCTATATATTATCTTTAAATAAACCCAAACAGCAAGGTTTGTCGTGAAAAGAATAATTTACAGCAGATATTACAGAAGAATGAAATTATCCTTCCCAATAACCCCTGAAAACAAACCCCCCAAAAAAATTTAAAGCTTCTTAATTACAAGAAAGACGAAGGAGTTACCTGTAACAGCCATTGTCAGATAATGCTGAATTTCGAGAAAGACCAGTAAACCCAGGAAGATGGCCCTTCCGTACTCCTCCATGGTCCTGGCCAAGTGCGAATTCGCCCCGGAGAGGGAGAGAAAGGAGATCCTATCGCTTATATAATTATATTTGTAGTGCTCATTCTATTATATTTCAAAAATTCACATAGCTGCATGTACGTAGACATACTCTAACTAACGTCCATTTAAATGCATTTACGATGTAATAATTAAGTGGCTTTAATCACGAAATATTGCTAATAATGTATAATGTGGTAGGATGGTGTGTGCGCCCCCCTCCCCCCCCCCACCCACCCACCTCCCACACACACACACACACACACACACACATATATATGTTAAAAGAGATCAAAATAGATAAATATATTTGTCAATATAGTTAGATAAAAAAATAAGTAATGTTAGATGAGTTTAAAAATTAGATTTGATAATCACAATTATTGAATAAGTAATAGATCTCAATAAATACGGGGATAAATAGTGAAATTAATAGTTATAATTATCAAGTCTATTTTTTAAATTCATATAATATTGCTCTAGAAAAATTAGGTGATTAGATGTCATAATAGAAAAACTTATAGATGATTTTAAGTAGTCATTTGGATTAAAAAAAAGTTAATTGCACTAGAGGTTCTTAAAATATGAAATTTGTTTCATCTTTGTCCTCAATATTTTAATTATATCATTTTGGTCTCTGAAATATTGAATATATTTTTGTATGATCTCTCGAGCAGACAACGTCTAGATTATTATCAATTTTTTATCATAAACTTGTCACGTGATACTTAAATATGAATAAAAAAATAATTTAGATAATGCCTGACCAAAATTCTACTCAAATTTTGGTTAAATAGATACTAAAATTACACAATTTTGATCATAAATTTATCTAAATTTTGGTCAAAAACTACTCATATTATACATTTTTTTTGTCAAGAACTACTCAAATTTTGTTTAAAAATTATCAAAATTATTTTTTGTCTATATTTAGGTATTACGTGATAAATTTATGATAAAAAATCGTTAGCAATTTGAACGTTGTCTATTTAAAGAACTATATAGAAACATATTCAATACTTGAAGGACTAAAATGAGACAACCTCTGTATTTTGGAGACTTTCAATATAATTAACCCTAAAAAAAATAACGAATTATAGTGTTATTTTAAGAGAAGATGAAAGAGAACATCTCTAAGGGTGTTAATCGAGATGAGGTACTCAGATTCTGTTCGGGTTCGATTCCTATGAGACATGACTTGAGTTCAACTCGTATTCTAAATGAGTTGAGTTTGAATAAATTTTTAAGATCGTTTAAAAAAACAAGTCTAAACAAACTCCGATCAAGTTTTTAAAATTTGGTTTGTTTAATATGTAGAATAGTCGAGTTATTTAGGTTTGACTCGAATTCGGCTCGGGCTTGGCTAAATTCTAAACAAGTCAAGTTTAAACAATTTTTTAAGTTCATTTAAAAAAAATGAACTCGATAAACTTAGGTTCAAATTCGTAAAATTTGACTCGATTAATTAAATGTGTCAGATTAGAGTTTGAAAATTTTGACAAGAACCCAAAACAGACCCAACACAATTAATCCGACATGACATATTTTGACACCCCCGCCATGGTGTCACAATTCAATAAGAACATAAAGAGAAAGTGAATATCACATGTTTTAATAATTAGCCCTTCAAGTCATTTGATAACCACATAATGTAAAAACATAGTCTCCTTTAGTCATTTTATTGCATTTTTATTAAATGATGACACCAAAAAGCATCGAATATTTTAGTCATTTAGAAAGGTGGTGACAATTTTTAGCCCAAAACAATGACATTTAAACTACTAACTCATACAAAACTAATTTCCCCTTTAATATTCTTTTTGTCACATGTATAATTGTGGTGAAAATAATTGTCATGTTTGCTTCTTTAGTTAAAAATACATTGTGCATTTATACATTGAAGAACATGTATGTGTTTATACGTTTAGAAAGACAATCAGACCATTAAAATTTTTAAATTAATCAATTTTATAATTTTATCTAACTATATTATCGTGCACCATTAATTATTTCTATTGTGTATTATATACCTTCTAAGTTTCTTCATCTTCATCCTCTTTGTAATGATGGTAATTGTACTAGTGGTAATACTAAAATGACTTAGCATAAACCAAGAAGACAAGACAAAAATTCAGTGTCGAAATTAGACTGAAAAACATTAGTGTTTTTAATGATAGCTTTGGAATTCTTTCAAAGCAAGGCATTAAGGCATTGTTTTCAGGAAAAGAACTCCATTTATTGTCACTTGCACTCAACGCCTGGACTCCTATATTGTGTTTGCATAATCCACCAATCTCATTCATATTGCTTGTAGTCTCCACATGTCCAATATTTATTATTTTTTCCTCATTTTATTTAAATTTAAATTCAAATATGTGGAATTAAATTTCACAAAATAAAAATCTGGATATAATAAGATCACGTTAAAAAATAATATATCAATATCTAATTTAAGAAGAGTAATTTGATGTGAATTACTACTGCACGTTAAAAAATAATATCAAAAAAAAAAATAACAGAAAAATCTAATAAATTCTTTTGTTTTTGAATTTCGGATCGACCGCTCCACATAAATGCCACCCGTCCCGACTCCATAGCTCATCGGTCTCTGTTCCGTCCTTCTCACTCCACCAACTCACAGAGATTGCACTGATTTCAGAGATCCAACATTTATTCTCCCTCTCTCTCTCTCTCTCTCTACAAACTCATATCCTGTAGTGAAGGCATGTACAATTCTCTCGCTCATTCTATGTATACAAGTACATATATGTATGTGTGTGTGTGTGCGCGCGCGCGCGCATCTTTTTCTTCTTCTTCTTTGAACTTCAATTGTGCCAATACTTTGCAGAGAATCGAGCTCACAATGAATTTTAGAATCGCAACTATGTTCATAGTAACACTCTCTCTTTGTTGTCACTCCAGAGCCCTCAAGGTCAGTCCAATATCTCCATTTTCAAACAGTAATTGAAAAAAAATAGTGTGTTCTAATTGAATATCGGCCTTAATCGAAGTTTTGAGTCTCTGTATAAGCAGGAAGGACAATCTTGCGTTGCAGATGGTAACTGCGACTCTGGACTACATTGCGAATTTTGCCTTGCCAACGGCAATATTCGGCCGCGTTGTACTCGAATTCAGCCTCGCAATCCATTGTCAGAGGTTCATCAACTCATATTCATATCCATTTCAATGCAGATAAATATATTTGTTAAGTGTTTGAATTCGTTTAGGTGTTTTGATCTAATATGAGTGATGTAGGTGAAAGGAATGCCGTTTAATCGGTATTCGTGGTTGACAACACACAATGCATTTGCTAGACTGGGACAGAGATCGGCTACGGGGGATGTGATTTTAGCTCCCTCAAATCAGCAGGATTCCATTACCGCTCAGCTCAATGTAATCTCTCTCTCTCTCTCTCTCTCTCTCTCTGTCTCACACACACACACACACATACAAATCCGGAAGGTTAGGGCTTAGGGGCGGTTTGATGGTGTCTAATTCCTTTTGGCTTCATTTGGTGTTTTCTCGTTGATGATGAATGAATGTTGGTTTCACATTGATATAATTAGAAAATTACGTTTTAGTCTGGTTTAAAGACTGTATTGTTCATGCATTCATAGAAAAATACAATTATAGATATGCTTTTCCACAAGAACAAATGATATTTTAGTCTTTCTTGCCCTTTGTTGGCTAGTGGAAATAAATGTACAAGATAATTGATCTGTAGCTTGCAGGCTGTAGGAAGTTGCCGTTTCCACCGATTTTGGTTTTGGTAAACTATTATATTAAACCCTTTCTATTTTTAAATGTAATTGAAAAACATTTGCATATGGCAAATATGACAGGTTGTCACAAGCATTCTTTTCCCTGAGACATTGCCATAAATGCACAATTTTGTGAATCTTTGACAGCCAGCATGTTTTAGTTCATAACTTGGTAAAGATGGGAGTATTTTTTTTATGCTAGCCCTTAAAGGACAATGCGTTTGTTAGGTGGGTTTAGGGTTTTTGCTTCTTTTAAATGGTTTGGTAATTTAGAGCTCATATTTTTCCACAGTGACAAACAATGGGTGACAAGGTCCATCCTATAAAGAAAGGAAGCTTTATGAAATGTAATAGGGTTGGTAGAATACTGCCACAAGGCTCCATGACATACATAATTTAAATATTGGGTATTGCTTGTCATCACATGTTGATTTTTGGAAGACTGTTGGTGGGAAAGCAAATGATTTCTTGACTTATAAACTGTTGCCGCTCAACATGCTTAAATTCTAATATAAGGATTCCTTTGTCCAAGAAAATGGAGGGCCCTCAGAAGTGGAGGCTGTTGGATCTCTGTCTTCAAAAAATAATGAAAATCCAAAGTCATACATAATCCTTGAGTAAATGAACTTCTGGATGGGCCATGATTACACAAGCTGTTCCTTTGTCAGCATGTAATATGAAATCAATCGCTTTCCTTTTGGTTTCATTTTCAATTTTGGGCATGGCTGCTGAACTTGTCAATAATTGCGTCACCAGCTCATAACTACTATCAAGGCTTATTGGTTGATATTCCCGGACAGTGGACTTTTATGTTGTCAATGTGCAAGCATTAGTATTATAGAATGTTGTGCATTCCTTTTTTCTCGATACCATTGATCTATTCAGCAATTGTAGACTACATGGGCAGAGTTACATAATAAAATTGTTGGCTGCAGTAATTTAGCATCCAACTTGTTCATTGAGCTTCTGTTTGGGAATATTTTATTTGCAGAATGGTGTTAGAGGGCTGATGCTTGATATGTATGACTTCAAAAATGACATCTGGCTATGTCATTCATTTGGCGGCAAATGCTATAACTACACTGCTTTTGTAAGTATGTTATGGTTGCTTAGATATCATATCAAATTTGCGTCAACCCATCTTCATTCCTTTTTGTATTGATTAAATTTGAAATGACTTCAGTTCGCTTATTTCATGGTGTCAAAGATTTCTACTTTTGAAATAACCACTGTCCTAAGATAAGCATTTACCAGAGTTTTTGGCTGCATTTCTGGCAAATCAGGTGTTCAGTTAGCTGTTTTTTTTACAGTTCTGAAAGGAGCCAAAGTTAATTCTGGCATTGATGCTTCCATTTAATTCTGAATTGTAATATACAAAAACACATGCATCTAGATGCTTGAATCAAAGTTAGATTTCCATGTTCTGTTTTGCTAGATGTCCTGGTAATTGTCTTAATAGATGACTATTTGTATTAATTGAATAACTAAACTGTCCAAACATCTAATTCACCAGCAACCTGCCATAAATGTTTTGAAAGAGATTCAAGTGTTTCTTGAGGCAAACCCGTCTGAAATCGTCACCATTATCATTGAAGACTATGTCACATCTCCTAATGGTCTAACCAAGGTGTTTGATGCTGCTGGCCTGAGGAAATTCTGGTTTCCAGTATCTCGAATGCCAAAAAACGGTGCCGATTGGCCGACAATTGATGCTATGATCAGGCAGAACCAGCGTTTAGTGGTTTTTACATCAAAATCTGCTAAGGAGTCCTCTGAAGGCATTGCTTATGAGTGGAGATACTTGGTAGAAAACCAATGTGAGTGCCTTCCCCCTCAAGAAAAAAAGAACACAAAAAAAATGTCTCTGAATTTTGAGTGATATGTTGATGAGAAAAATTGAAAGAATTAGAGCCGCTTACGTGGCTTCTGAATTTGCAGATGGTAATGGTGGGATGAAAGCTGGATCTTGTCCCAACCGAGCAGAATCTTCTCCCTTGAACACAACAACAAGGTCATTAGTCCTGATGAACTACTTTCCTGATAACCCAGATATAACCCAAGCTTGCAAGCATAATTCAGCTCCATTGATTAGCATGATGAATACATGTCATGAAGCAGCTGGTAAAAGATGGCCTAACTTCATTGCCGTCGATTTTTATAAGGTATTATAACTCAATGAAACTCATTTTGAAGCTCAACCAAGGCAAAATTATAAATTGCTGCATATTTAGTGCATATAATTTATCTGAAAATGAACTTTTGCAGAGGAGCGATGGAGGGGGAGCTCCTGAAGCTGTAGATGCGGCAAATGGTCAGCTTGTTTGTGGGTGTACAACCATTGGTGATTGCAAGGTTTGAAGCAATCATTAAAATAGAGAATTTTCATATTTTCTATTCAAATATTAGATTGAGGTCATGGACATAAATACCAAGGGTCGAATGAATACAGAAAGGGGAAGTTGGTTAACTCATGTAACCTTTTCAAAGTCTGTACATTTTTTTTTTTGGGAGAGAGGGAGAGAGGGAGGAGGAGAGGGGACTTGAACCCTTGACCTCAAAAAAGTTTGTACATGGGGAAAGGCTATTGTAGCAAAAAACTAACAATACAAAAAATTAAGTTCAATTGAGTATGCAAAGTTATGACTCAGTCGGGTCAAGTTAAGACTGGAACAGGTTAAAAGTTATGGCTCATGTTAATTAGGATCCATCCGAAAAACCTGTAATTGATACCAACCTTTTTGAACCTCATTAATCATAAGTTTATTTTGTTTGAATTGTACTTGGCTCGATTCAATCTTTTATATGGTATCGAATATGACACTGTAGATTTTTCACTCCTTACATGAGTCATGAGCTATGCTAGTATGAGCACTGTTGTAGTCTTTTTACATGATTACTAAATATTTATCCTATTATTATGTGCAGGCAAATATGACCTTTGGAGTATGTGACCTGCCTGAGGCTAGTGTAGCCCCCACTGTAGCATCAACAAATGAAACCAGCTCTGCTCATTTGGATAGCAGGCTGATCCTATTGCGGTGGCTGTTCTGGACTGTTTTAATAGCCATCATCATGTCATTTTAAGGAGCTTCATTGTCCAGCAAGAAGAGAGTAAGGAGCTTATGAGGTATGACCTACACTAGTTCCATTTCAGTTCAATGGAAAGAAATTGTACTCACTGACAGGCCATAGCACATTTAGAATAGTTTGCAATGTGTGCCATTTGATTACCGGTAATAAAGAAACATTAGGACAGCTTATCCTTCCAGCTTTTCGCTTATATGAACAGCAGTCAGGTGCAACCTTGGTGCCTATCTGGGACAGGTTTGATTTTAGGAGCCAACACAAGTGCTTCTCACTCTCTGCAACTGCATTGAAACCTAGGGAAACTACAAGGAAAGAGAAACAGTTGTATTGTCTCTCTCTTCAATGATACATGACCATTTTTTAAATATCCGATAACCATTCCAACTACATGTTCGCTAGACTCATGGTTACAATCTACACTCAGAATAAATGCAATCACCCTTAAACCACTTGTTTCGGGTTTTTGAGTTAACCAGGACTTGAGCTCGAAATCTGATGAGTTAATAGATGATAATAGCCTCTAGTTGGTGTCATGTGGTTGCCGAAAACTAGGAATCTTAAGCATTTCTTTGTGCATTCTGGCTCTAACTGAAAATCAGTAGAGATGCATGTTTTTTATGGCTGCATATGCAACCACTTCCTACAATCAGTTTTGCATTTGGACACTACCACAGGATGAGATCATGAGGCCAACTAACTTGCTTGACGTCTGAGGATGATTAAATTTGTAGAATTCTTTTTCTTCTTATTTTTTCCGTAATTTTTGGAGTTCCATGAACGGTGAATAACTAGATGGTTGGTTGTGTTCTCTTCTTTTTCCGAATGTTATTCAGCACAGGCTGCACAGCTACTTGTGCTGAAAGTCTAAAAGCCAAGAATTCAGTGGACCAATGTGAGGTTCCTTCCTTCCTCTCATAACTGCTTTTCTGTGCTGTAAGCTTTAGCAGACATGAGAGTCTAACACGAAATTAATACAAAATTAGCTTGTTTAAATGGTAAAGGAGTGGGTCCACGAGACTCGCTCATTACATGGGTCCATGTGAACAATGGTAGAGCCACTTTGAAGGTTGGGGGGGGGGGGGGAACCTTGCACACATGGTGTAAAATAAACGTCACTCTGTCTAATTTAGTACACTGCCCCCTTCATTTTTTGAAATTTATAGAGTAGTGCTAGTTTTTTATTTATTTATGTTTTTACCCTTCTCAGACAGGAACTTGGCTCTGCCACTGGACACACCCCGCAAAATTTGTTGTATATTTCAAACGAACTTTATAATAAAAAATTATAAATAAATTGAGCATGAGTTAAACAAATGTTGATATTGTACCATACGAATTCGATAAAACAAGTCATATCTCATTGTTAACCTTGATTTATTAATATGGACCTTCATCTCGCATTTTGGGCCCTACCACCGTTAAGTTAAAGTGATGCTAATAACTTAAACGTGTTGGCCACTACATGGGCTGGACCAAAACACAACAACCAACATGAGGACCCTTGTAATATTGCCCATATCCATGCCTAGGCCTTCTGCCCTGTTATCATTGATTTAATGATGTAGCAGTTATATAGTCTAATAGAGTTGTTGTGTCCGTAACTGATGAACTCCTTCGTTGGAACTCTTGGATCTAATTTGTTGACTTAATCTAATAGAACTTTTGAATTAATTATGGACTCTATCAAATATTAGAATTTAATATTAATCAATGGCTACAATAAAATCATATTATTAGGTCAACAGATTAAATCAAATTTTTAAATTTAAATAATATTAGTCATTTGCTTAAACGAAGGGCTATTAAGACAAGAATCAAGATTTTACAATAGAAATGTGCACGGCTCAAGACACTGCACCGTCCTTTTTCTTAAATTTAAAACGTCAATGTTAATTCAACAAATTAGATTAATTTTTTATATCCCAATAAGTATTACTCTAAGAGTTTACGTTGAAATATGAATTACTTACATGAAAGACTACTAGGACAAGAATCAAGATTTTATAATGAAAATGTGCACGGCTCAAGACACCGCCCTTTTCTTGAATACATAACGAAAATGTTAATGATAAATTAACCTCCAAAAAAACTCAATTCAAATCCTTCTGATCAAGCACTCTCATCGAAACTAATTGGTTCATTATTTAAACTAATACATTCATTAAGATATGAAAACATCACGGTTTGTAGGTAGGGGGAATCCGGCGGGAGAATAATATATGGTATGTCCTGTGGTATAAATAATAATTACACAAAATTACGATACTCCAATTGTTAATTCGACAAACTTTTGCTAAGTCGTACGATTATGCTTAAAATAATCCGTCTCTAGAGTCTAGAGTTTTATTCGAGGTTCATCTGGATATAAGAAAACATCCAAGTATAATTTAATGTCAAATCATCGGATTATTCTAACATATATATATATATATATATTTTCTCAATGGACAAAGGTGATTAAATCAGTTTACGTGTACTTTGATTAATCGCTTATCCAGTCAGGTCATCCACGTTGGAATTAATATATTTATGAAGGATAAATCTGGTACGCACCTTCACCCTTTGACGTGGCACAATCACAATCATTTGATATCATTTAGTAATTCACATTTGTTCAAAAAAAAAAAAGTAATTCACATTGAAATGGTGTACAAAAATAGTGTGTCCAACATTATTTTACTTAGATAGAGGAGTCTAATTTGCGCCCACGTCAATTGATTTGTGTAATCTCCATGAGATGGAGTGGTGTCGAGAAGAAAGTGTGTGAGTATCATGAAAGTTTTTTAGGAAAATCAAAAAACTTCCTACACTATCCAATCAAATCATGAAAGTTTGATTTGTTTTTTTTTTTTTTTTAGCTTAGATTGAATCAATCGAGAGCTAAAATTAGAGAAAAATAGCAGAAAGACTTCGCATTGAGAGTCGAGAGACGGACTAAATAAAAATTATCTTTATCTTGAATTTACAAACAAAGAATACTTTCTACTACAACTTTTAACATCTATCATGACAATTGCAACAATTGTTTGGAATGTTTGATGTGCAGGCTTCAATGGTCACACTGGCCATAGATGATGCAGAGCGGTCATTCATGGCAAAACCACCTTGACTTCAACTGAAAAATAAAGATTTCAAACAATGATGGTTGCCCATTTGAGAAGATATCACAACTTCTAGGTTTGAATGATTATGGCGTTGAACTTCCTCGAGTTTGACAGCATTGATTGCAAACCACCCATGTCCAAGGGTTCTGAAATTTTTCCCACTCAAAGCAAATAATGAATAAGCAATTACTAAAAAATCAAGCGTAGCGAGTAAATCAAGACTATCTTGCCATAGTCAAATTTGATATCATATTAACCCATACAATTTGCCTCTCTATCTTCACAATTAATTAGAAAGATTGTTATTACAATAATGTGGATAATATCCTAATCACTAAGTTTTAGTTGTTATCAATCTTTCATCGCAATTTATTCACAACAAAAAAGAGAAAAACCCTAAAGACAGTATAAGAGCACCAAAAGACCGAAAGAAAGAGAGTGACTCAAGTGATAACAGAAACGAATTGTAAATTTAAACATTTTAAGTTTAAATCTTAACAATTCTTGAAACCAGACAATCAAGGGCTTATCTATCATGAATACTCTAATCTCGATATGAATGATTTATTTTTTATTAGACTGAGAAAAAAATTAATCGATATGCACGTAAGTTATCCGATCATCCTTAACCATTAAAAAAAAAAAACTATCTTCAGGGCCTTGATCTCCACCACATACAACTCTTTCAAGAAAATCAAATCATCTGTTCCTCCGTTGAAATTGAATCAATGCCACACACCCATTTACATGTCTTTTAGCAAAGTGGTTGTGGAAATCTCTCTTTCTCTCTCTCATACACAGACTGATTATAAATATCAGAAGTGGACATAGTTATGGACCACCTCAGATTCCACAAAAAATCTGTACACGTGGTGCATGTCCAGACAACCCACGTGGAGAGTGGGTTCAATTATTCGATGATAGGACCACTAGATCTTGTCTAGTAGGCCGAATCACAAGCAAGCGACCTAGGCTTCCCTCCTTTACACCCAATAGTGCTATAGAAACTGTTAAAAATGGTATTAGAATAAATTCTAAAGGCCTAGAAAGTAATTCTAAAGTTAAAGAGTACAAACAACCTCATTTGCCACAACCCATCCACTATCGAAACATAGGGATAAAAAAGGGGTGGTGGGTTAAATTAATCTGGTGTTTGTTATTGTCCAGTCCTTTTGCTTTGATGGAAATCCCTGAAAGGCGTCAATAGAATCCTAGTAGACTTGTTTGGTTGCCACTGAGGAGAATTGTTTTAAAACTACGTAAGCTTTTTTCGTTCTTTCCCTTCGTTTAGATAGGTTTGTTATTTGTGTTGGGCGAGATGAGATCGTATCGAGTTTTTATGGGTTTGTATCAAAAAATATTTTATATATACCTAAATTATTTATTAATTCGTATCTAATAAATTGTGTTATATCGAGTTAGTGTTATATATAATTCGTGTATAACAAATATATAAATGAATCGTATCGTATATTTTTTGAATTGTTTCGTACATATCTGATTTGTTTATTAATTGTGTCGAATCGTGCCGGATCCACTCGCTTAATAAACGAGTGACTTAAAAAAAATTTAAACCTTATAATTTAATATCGTGTTAATGAGTTGTATCATATTTTGACAGCCCTATGTCTAGATCACTCCCAATTATGTGTGAATTCTATTTCTCAGGTATAATTTATGGTTAAATATCTAAATTTTTTAGGCAAATTACGACTCGATGCATGAGTCAATAAGATTTAAAAAATTTAAGATCAATTCTAACAAGCTTGACATCAAGCCTTAGAAGCTATGACTGGTCCCCATTTTTTGGATTGACCCCACTTCAATCCCATTTGGTTACAACTTTGGGTCGTAACTTTATATACTTAGATTTTAACCTTCTATTTTACGGTA